TCCAAGTAAGTCTTGATCAAGGAGTTTCTGAACAGCTGAACCAAAATATCAATCAATTTAATTGCGACGTGTTGCGGCAATTGTTGTTCCAGAACATGGCCTTGGCAGAGCTCATGCGCAGGAGATGGACCTAAGCCCTTGCAGTCCAACAAGCCCGGGACACAAATCCCAAGCTGAGGCTGACCTTCTTGAACGCAAAACAACCGTGATGCGCTTGCAGAACAGGCTTCAGAAGATCTTTGCCAAGCAATTGACTCCCGGCAAGAGCGTGTGGTGCTGGCGCTATGAGAAGAATGAGTCGGACCACACTTTTCAGGCTTCAGTGCACATTTCCCTTCTTGACCGATCATTCACAGGTGGATGGGCAGCCACACATCAGGCTGCACAGATGGAGGCATGCAACCAGTTGGCAGCGTTTCTGGACAAAGACTTCAAGGCCTGAGCACAAGAGTAATTGGCCAGCACAAAGCTGAGACGTAATGTCGAGCCGACCTGCTCAGAGGGTATTTGAAAGTAGGCAAAGCCCGACTTGCAGCAGATGCGAGCCCACAGAGTTTCTTGTTTGCCGAATAACTTCTTCTAGTCCACCACGATATTTGTCTTTTACTGTTTTTTGACACTGGTGCTCGCCTTTGCTTTTTGTGTGCGGGGTTTGTTTCCATGCGTAAGAGCGTGGACGAAATGCATGGCTGCAAGGGGATGTTGTACGGCAGATCCGTAGGCACGATAGACGTAACGATCTTGATGAACCTTGGTGTTTGTGAGCCACGGGAAACTTTGCACTTTTGTTGTTGTTGCCTTGTTGTTGCTTCCACATGCCTCCCGGCTGGAAAGGGTGGCCAATGCATTGCTCCACAAAGTGGATCAATGCAGGAGCCGCAGCCTTCCACTGCCCATGCGCTCGGAAATTGATGCGCATGATTTCAGACTCCGCTTTGCCATGCACCTTTTAGATCAGCATGATTGTCGGCCCGCAGTTGTTGGATCGCTCGTTTTTGGTCCTGGTCAAACCGGAGGCTCTTCCATGATCCACCTGCTTCGCACACGGCCAAAAAGGGATCTGAACTGGTCCTTCACAAGCATTCGACTGGCAGGAAGGTGTCTAATTACTAGCTTAGGGCTGGGGGATTGGGAATTTGGCGCTGAACAGGGGCCATGGCTGAGAGAGGGGAAGCATGATGCAACAGATTGCCTGAGCCAGGACATGTGCATGAATGCTGCCTGCCAAAACCACAGCGAAAAGAGGAGTGAGCAGCCGCAAGCAGGAAGGGCTCTTTTGGCTGACGTAGCCTGCTAGTAGATTGGCGAGTTTGAAGCGTCATGGATAGCAGTATACTGTTGTCCATTCCTTGAGAGTAACATGGACAAGGCTTGCGACTTGTGAGCTTGGCAGTGCCCACCATGGTGCCAGTGCAGACAGTGGGCCGGCTCAAGCTCCCTTGGCATGTTTGAGTCCAATCCTCTCTACAGTACGTTCAAATTGATTCACCTACCTGATCACGCCGCCAGTGAAAAGAGATCAGGCCGGCCGCACTAATCAACCAAGTTGTCACGGAAGCTGATGCACGGCCTGAGGGATGTGGATTGAAGTGCCGGACTTCATTTTCAATACGCCATGGCGAATGCTGCGGTCTACTCTCCGACTCGGAGACCTGCAGTCTGGCCGCCCAAGTTGGAAAGCCCCGGATGTTTTTCAAGACGGATTATGGAAGACACACACATATATATATATATGTGTATATAATTATATATACGCATACAGTAATATATAATATAGTTATATATTTATTGATTATGTATAATGTATATAATATATAAATTGCATATATAATGGCGCAGCGGAACTTAGAACATCATGTTTTTCCTTCCAACAAACACTATTTTGGAACATCAGAGAAACCCCTACTTTAGAACATTCGAACTTAGAACATGAGTAATTTAGAACATGGTCTTAGAACATCACCGCTAAATTTGTCCCTGATGATCTAAGTAAATGGCTGTGATGTTCTAAGTACATGTTCCTCCCAGTGCCCAAGCTCTTTTTTCTCCTTCACCCCAAGCTCCCAGCTCCTAAAGACACATGCATCCACGATCCAGCAAATTCAACCGGCGCAGATCACAACAATATATGTACCTGCAAGCCAGATATGTGTCAATCGCGCACTGTACAAGCATCTTTGCGCAGGACTCCATCCGTTTGGAAAAATCTGCATATCCGCGTTGGTGTTTGATGGTATTTCATCAATCCTATATAGACATGTACACAAAACTTACGCTCATGATACATGATGCCGCCAGATGTATACACTGTACACACTCCTTATATATACATCTTCAGGTTGGTATGGTCATGGTGCATGTTCTATGATGTATGTTCCGCAGCTGATTCAACGATCTTAGACCCATGTTCTAAGTTGTTCTAAGATGTTCTAAGTATAATGTTCTCAATTCAACGCCGTGATTGATGTTCTGAGCACACTTGTGAATGTTCTAACTTCTGATTTTAGAACAACAAGACCTACATATATTTTTTCCAGACGATGTTCTTACTTTCGCTTACTTTACACATACATATCAATATCATTGAAGCTTAGATCAGGGACGCAAACGGCACTGTTTGGATTTTGGGATGTAACACTCTAGATTGAAAGGTGCTTGTGCCAGCTCATGAGTATCGGCAGAATCTCCATGTTTTCTCACTTGCACGTATATCATGCCCGCAGCTTTTGCAAGATTCAGGATAGTAAAGCTGGGTCTCCCAACCCTAAACCATGGCCTACTGCACGGTACCGCCAATGCAGTACTCCGTGAATGTCGACCCATTGATGCACTCGCA